GACCTCTGAGACGCCTTTCGCACCTCCATCCCCTCCAATGTAGAAGTGGGAGATCTTTTTATCTTTCGTATTTTTCAAATCACATTGTGCATCTCCCAATACACGGTGACCATCGACGTACACGGAACCTTGGCTGCCGTTCTGTAGCATAAGCACCACCTGATGTGTTGTCTCCTCCCAATCGCGGCTTTGATGCTTAGGGTTTTCGTCACTGCACAGCACCTGCCACTTCTTTTCTTTGTTGTACGACAGTCCCAGAAGTACGGAATTCTCTGGATTCTCATCGTCATTCATCTTCGCTCCCATCAAAGGAATGGGAGTATCTTCCTGCGGCACACCGTCGATGGACACCGTCGCCACAAGAGTGAAGTTGTAGTTCGCAAAGTGGTAAAGCTGATTCTCCCCCTGCTTGCCAACGGGCCACTCCGCCCACGCTCCCTGGAACGTCATACCATCTTCCGCCTTTGTTGCCCCCGTCTCCCCTGCATCCTCTGTTGCCCCATCTTTCTTCTTCACCGTGGCGTTCACCCCGAGGTACTCGTCCCTCCATGTGTTATCAGAGAAGTTGTCGGACAAAAAGCCAACCAGCCCAGCCGTGATCTTAACAGTAGGGCTGCAGGCATTTTCAGGTGAGGCATCCTTCTCAGCACTTGAAGTGGTGCACAGCTTGGAGACAAGGTCGTCCACTTTCTTCCACGTCGCCAGCACATCCTTCACACGCTGCAGCTGCTCAGTCAGGAGCACAGACCAAAGACTGTGTGATGATTCTCCATCGCCCTTCTTCTTCTCGTATAGTACAATAAGCTCCTCATTATTTCCACTTCCAGCACTTCTGTACAACAGGGAGCTGGCGGCAGCGTCATCATCGGATACCGGCCCAATATCAACAATGTGCGTATTGTCCGTCAGCCAAAGATGGAGTTCACCCTTTCCATTGCCCGTTACTTTTTTACTGTCCTCCTTGGAATACACCGGCAGAGTAACGAGCATCACATTTCTGTTACCTTCAACACCGTCAATCGTCGCTGTGATGAACCCGCTTCTAACGGCCTTCACTTCTTTCCCCTTTTTGTTGCCCACACGCGCGAGAGTGTCCCGAGTGCCTCCGTCCACGACTCCCCCTTGTCACCGGACTCGTACACCCTGCGGCGGCCATCATCACACGCAGTCATCATGATGAGTTTTTTGTCCTCCCACTCCACGACGGAGGGGTCACTGCAGCCACCGTCAGGAACCTCCTTCGATAGCTTCCAACTCGCAGCGTTATCGGAGGTGTATATGAGCAGCGATACGGCCTTTTCATCGTTTTGTGCTTCACCCTTCTTCGTGCCTTGCACAGGGAACAGGAGAGTTCTGTCTTTCGTCTTAATACCCGATCCACCGCCGCCAATCAACCCTGTCCACGAATTTAGTTCGCCAACAGAAATCCGCAAGACATCGTCATCATCTTTCCATTTGATTCTTTTGCCACCGCTACTTTCATCACCGACTTCCCCTTTCACCAGCAATAATCCCCCGTCATTTGCTCCGCCATCCTCTCGACCAGTGGCAGCTGTCTGGCTGTATTTTCCAACAAGCATGTAAATATCATTTCCCTGCATAACTGTTGTTGGTCGGCTCACATCTATTCTCTTCTTTGGGTCTTCGGAACCCTCTTCCTCCAAAACTTGTGCCTTACCTTTGGCTCCATTTGACACTTCCATTGGTTTGTCAGCTTTATCTTTCGTGAGAAGTTGGGATACAATTCCAGTAAAAATGTTTGCATCACTCTTCTTGCACTGCGCCTCGGCAACGGCAAATACGTCACTCCCCACTTTTAGAAGACCGGGAACACCCAACGACTCCACAGTTACATCCTCCTCATTCTTGACGTCCTTCCATTTATAATTTGGACCAGATGGCTGCCCCGCAGCTTCCGCAGCACCACCAGCGTTGCAGCACATCATCACAACAATGAGAAGCGGCACCGCGGAAGTAGACACACGCCGGGACATGTTGGGCCTCTGCGGCTCACTCTCTCTTCCTTCCCTCCTCCTTCCGCTGGATCCGGTCACGCGGCAACGGTTGTGTGTGCGGGGTGCCTTCACAGCAGCAACACGTGAGAGCATGTAAATATGTGTGTGTGGGCGGTGTGTGTGCTGTTGGTTCTTTCAGTGCCTTCGAATTTCACAGTAGCGATTAGCGTTTAGCCTTACTTCCTTTCCCTCTTTGTGTGTGAGAAAGAGTGACAGAAAGAAAATGGAGTAAAACAGTGAGCACGGCCGCCCCTCCACACTGAGTGGCACCATCATCCCCGCCGCAGTTACTCCCCACAAAAACAACTCACGCACACAGACACACGGAAAGAGACGGAAGAACAGTGCACCGGGAACACACAGCGACTGCCACTGCGGGTATGTTGTTGTTCTTCACGCGTCAGCAAATCTTCAAAGCCCACACACGCTGCCGCCAGTCGTTTTACTGTTGTCTCTCCCCGCAACATCCACCGCACATCACCCCGCACAGCCGGAGAATCCTCCGTCGCTGTATGAACAGTGGGAGAAACACGTCGGCACGTGCAGCTGCTGGGCAAGAGTCCACCACAGCCGAAGTCACCCTCAATGCCACACCACGTTAGCCAACTGCTGCGCGACAAGAAAATCATGCCCTTAGCACGGAAATAAAACAAATCGCGTTCTCCGTCATCCCTCCTCACAAGGGCCACAGAAAAATCGTGTGCGTGCGTCCTCAGCGTTCACGCCGCCCCATAAAGTGTGCAACATGGCGTGTGTGTGTGTTTGGCAGCGCCTATAGTTGCAGAGCAGCTGTGCGCCACAAGAGAGTCAGAAGAAAGCAACGGCGGAGAGAGGCAGATAGAACACACGCAAATTACTCATATCATCACACACAAACACACACACGCAGCCCGCGGAATGGGTGCTCTCAACCACAAAACAATGAAAAACAAAACAAAAAGCCGAAGCGTGGGACGACCAGCGCACACACTCTCATTGCTCCCGTAAAGCAAAACACACACACAGGGAGAGAGAGAGAGAGAGGTCGCCCACTCAATGCAATAAAAACAAAACAGAAACAGTTACGGTGCTCCGCCCGTGCAGCCAGGCAGGACGGCAGCGGTGCGTGTGGTGCAAAAGAGAGCACCAACGGGCCTGCATGGGTGTGCATGCATATATACAATGGGCACATTATGTGTGTGCTTCGTGGGGTGAGGTGAGGGCGAGAGTCCATGCAAGGGGACACACAGAGTGAGTGGGTGAAAGACGAGTGTGTGTGCGGGCGGTGCATGGCGCTCTCTCCCTCACTCTCACGCGGCCACCACCGCAGCAGCAGCCGCACACGCAACAACAAGAAGAAGCAAAAGAGGGGAGGTGGTGTGGGAGACCGCGGTGCTGCCGTCACTGTCGCCTTTCTTCGCCGTGTCGCCTGTTGTGGCGTTTGTGGTTGTCGCTGTTGTGGAACCTGCATTCTGAGAGACTGTATCGTATTTGTTGGCTGATGCAGCCTCACGATCGGAAGTCGTTCCGGGTGGTGTGGCGGCTTCAGTGGAAGGTTGGCTCGGATGATTGGTGGGCAGAGTTTCTTCTGTGCCAATGTCAGGCCGTACAGCTGCAGTTGTCGCGGTGCTGCCGCTGTCGCTTTTCGTTGTTGTCTCACTCATTTCTTCAACTGTCGTGACTGACAATCGTGAACCTTCTTCTTCACCCGTTGAAGCGACAGCTTTTTCGCCGGTGTCATTGTTCTGTCCAATGTCTCCTACCACAGACTGTTGAGAATTCTTCGTGCCAATGTCGTTTTCGCGACTTTTTGTGTCAACACGGCCAGCTGCAGATGTGGATGGTGGAGTTCCACCCGGTGAGGTGTTGTGTAACGGAGGCAGCAGAGAACTCGACAAATCTTGTTGATCTTCACGAACTGGCAAAGTTTCTCTTGATGATTTTATTGTTTCAGCTCCATGAGCTCCATTCAATGATGTTGGCTGCAAGCCTTCATTGTTATTCAACTGCTGGCCCTCCACAGACGTCAGTTTGTCTTCAGGCTTTTTTGGCTCAATAATTTTTCCATCCACTTCCCTTTCTTTTCCAGCTTCTTTAGCATCATCTTTTTCTTTTGCCTTTTCTACCTTATTACCACCTTTGGTTCCTAACAGAGTTTCTTCACGAGGTGGGGACGGATCTTGTTCTTGTTGAACATCTCGTACTGAGGTTTCTGAGTCTGGTGTGTGTGAATCTGGCGTTTTAAAGCCTGATGAACCCTGTGAATGTCCTCTTCCCCCCTCAATTTCACCGGGCACATCAGACTGAGAAACTAAGAGTACTTCTTGACATCTGCCGGCACCGCACCACAGCACGCAGAGGGCACACACCAGCAGCACACGGCCAGTCATCATCATCGCCATCACTCCTGTCACTTGCGTGTAGCCTTCAGCACAAACTAACGCCCCGTCAACGCAGACTGAAAGCAAAAGAAATGAGAAACACGGCTGCTACACCCCAGCAGCAGCAGCGCACACCGCCCTGCAAACCAGAAGTTAAGCAAGGAAAAGAAGAGTCGAGTGTCCGGCAGGACTCTCGGAAAGAATTAATAAATTCATTCGGCAGGACATTTATTTTATGTGCCAAGCGGCACAATAAGAGCATGTGTTTGTGCATACATATTGCCTGCATTGAATTAAAAAAGATTGTACTCTTCCACCAGCCCACAAAAAACACTCTCCACACTTCATGCGGCATCCGGCCTGTTCCTCCGCTCCTTCTTTCGTGCAGTCCGTGGGACGCACAGCAATGAGGCCGGCACCGCGTGTGGGCAACTAAACAAAACAAGTAGGGGAAACACGTCACTCATAACAGTGTGCAGCAACCGACCATTAAATAAAGGAACAGCAAGGATACTTATTATTCCAGGAAAGGGACAAAAACAGTAAAACGTAAATAATAAAAGAAAACACGCAGGGAACGCGGCACATGTTCTCCGTGAGATGTCGCAATTCCACACTCTTCGGCTCACAAGTCTGCCACAACTCCACACAATCCCAGAAGAAACAGCAACGCCCAATACACGCGCCCACGCACAGTGCCGTCAACTGTTAACTCTCGCAGTGTCAATTTCGCGTCGTTGCGCAGGGCAAAGCAGTCGTCGGGACTCACACCGCTCCCGGAATACTGCGCGGTGAATTCTCGTAATTGGGGTTTGTTTTCGTGTCCAGAGGCATTGCGTTGACTCAATCCGCCCGCATCACCCTCAGCAACAAATCCACTGCCTGCAACGCCATTTTCTAAAGAAAGGAGTTTGTGTCCAGTGGCGCTGCGCTCATTCACCTCGTCCGTGTTATCCGCAGCAACGTGTTCCCTGCCGCCATAAGTGACAGACATGATCCCGGATCCATTCGACACCACTACTATTCTCGGACCGTTGGCAAAGGAAGGCCTCTTCTTGGATGCATTCGGGACCATCACTTCGTTCGAATTGGCGGCAGACTCAGGCCTCGTCTCGGACGTGTTGGTCGCCGTGTTGGATGCGGGACTCGGATCGACGGTGTTGGGTCCGTCAGCCGCCGCAGACTGTCGCCAATCCTCGTGTTGACGTAACGGCTCAGCATTAACTTGCGGCGCAGTTATCCCACCAGATTTTGTGTCACCCTCCTCCCTTCACGGGGTGGCGGCAACTGACAGATGCCCGTCTGGTCAGCATCGCTGCTCCGTGCAGGCGGATGGATGGTTCCGTCGGGAGAAAATTGACGCCGCCACAATTCATAAGGGCCGGCGTATTTATGTGTCGTCACATTCATCGTGAAGGCAACGGTGGCCCCTTCCTCTTTCGCTGCACAGCTGGCAGCACAGTTGCTACATGTGTGCACCGCATTGGCCACATTGCACACAGCACACAGCTCACCATTCCTGCCATGCATGCGCACATCAAAGCCACTGAAAGTATAATTCTCATACTGAGCCTCGGCAATGGCGGGAGAACACTTCTTCCACGCCCACACACACACACGCGATAGCTCGAGCTGCCGTCATTCGGAGCACACGACAAATCCACCGGCACAACTACCGCATCCGCATTACCAGATACATGTCCAGGACTCCCAGCAGCCGTCACGCACACGGAGCAAGCACACACCACACCAGCCACACGCGCCAGTGCACCCTCATCCATCCATGAAGCGGCAACAAATTTCGTGCCATCCCGCCCTCAATGGGACACGGAGCCCAACTCAACGCAGTCACACGCGGTGCATCACACCCACAGGAAAGGAGACTCGGGCTGCGCGCTCCCTCCTCCTCCCTTCTCCTCATGGCCACGGAGGAAAACAACAGCCGCCACACGCAACTGCCAGCATGCACTACAAAAGGAGCATTCAAACCCACTGCAATGTGCATCTTGTGTGTGTGTGTGTGGTTGTGTGTGCCTGCAGCAACACAAGGCAAAGACGTAGAAAAGAGGGAGCAGAGTATGTGGAGAGACGCACAAAAATGCACAGCGGAGACGCAAAACGGAAACAACAACAAGAAGACCGCTCAAACTCATGATTGCACTGCAGCCCAAGCAGTGGCAATTCACACAAGATTTATTGAAAACAAAAAAACTTCCCCCTTCGTCTTATATAAACCCCATCACACAAAATAATTATAAATGAAAAAGAAATCGTCCATTACTGCTCCACACAAAATAAAAAAAGGGTCGATTGGCAGCCGTGTGGCCACACCAAACCGTCTGTACATATTTTACCCTCAAAAGAAAATTAAATAGTTACATGTCTTTCAACCGTCTGACCCTCCATGTGTCCGCACATCGTTTATATTTCATGGGGTCATCTGCGTGTTGCTGCTCCCCTCAGCCCTCTCATCGGCGCGTGAGTGCGGCCCGCAGAGCACAGTCACTCGTGTGTGTGTGGGGACTGAGAGAAGCACGCAGACATGACGGGAGTCGCGTCTCTCCATCGGGAGAGTGAGCGCAGCAAAAGAAAAAGAAATCATCAGAGGGGAGAGAAATGTTCAAGAGAGTGCCAGCGCGTGAAATGCACACGCAAAGCAAAACAAATCTTCAAAACACGGCGGCAGGGTGTGGCTGTGTGTGTGTGGCGCTGCGGGTGTCTGCCCGCCCTGGCCGCAAAGAAAACAAAACAAGAGGGAAGAAATGTGTGCTCCGCCTCACAGGCCCTCGTCGCACGCCCACACGTCACGGCTCCCTCAGCGCGCCGTTCGTCGCGGCCCCTCCTCATGCGTGCAGCAGGCGAGGCGCACAGGGCCGTCGTCATGAGCGTGTCGGTGGGTGTGCGAGTGGAGCAGTTGGGCGGGAAACACACGGCACCCCCCACGGGAAGAGTGCATCATGAAATAATTAAAAGAGGGAAGAGTAGAAAAGAAAAAACGTCCATAGTTATTGCCCCCAAAAGCATAAAAAGTGTTGGGAGTATGAGGGATTAGAAATAAAAACAGAAAAGAATTTTTAAAAAGAAAAGAAGCTCAATCGCACAACAAAGAAAAAAGAAAAAAAGACAAATAAATTAAAATCGCACAGCAAAGCAAACAATGAGAAAAGTTAATAAAAGTTATTTAACGAGAGAAGTTCATTACCAGGTGTGTGTGTCGCTGCTGGGGAGATCGCAGGTGTCCCACGCGGCAGCCAGTCACTCCTCACAGAGCCGCAAACCACCACAGTCCCAACAGAAGAAGCAGCGATGGCAGCAGTCCGCTCCCACACATGCTGCTGGCATCACCGTGTGCTCCACCGTCAAGAGCGGTACCTTCATCCGTTTTTCCTTCTTCTGCTGTTTGTGGAATAGAAAGTTTAATTGTGTTAAGCGCAGTAAGCTCATTGTCACTCAACGGGCGGTTGTACAGCAGGACGTTCGTCACCGTCACAGACACGCCTTCTCGGCTCCCCGCGCTGCTTCCATCCCCTCCAATGTAGAAGTGTGATATCCCTTTTGAACCGTTATCCTTCAAATCAAATGGCGCACCTTCCACACGCCTACCATCGACGTACACAAAGCCCTGGATGCTGTTCCGCAGCACAATGGCCACTTGGTGTGTTTTCCCTGGCTCCCAATTGCTGCTGAGCTCCGACGCCTTCCCGCCACTGGACAAAAGTTCCAACTTCTTTTCTCTGTTGCTGTACGACAGCCCCAGAAGTACAGTACTCTTATCACCATTCATCCTCTTCGCACCCATCAAAGGAATGGGAGTATCTTCCTCCGGCACCTCGTCGATGGACACCGTCGCCACAAGAGTGAAGTTGTAGTTCGCAAAGTGGTAAAGCTGATTCTCCCCTTGCTTGCCAACGGGCCACTCCGCCCACGCTCCCTGGAACGTCACACTGCCTTCATGCAATGTTGCCTTCTTACCCCCTTCATCATTGTTCTTCACTGTGGCGTCCACCCCGAGGTACTCGTCCCTCCATTTGTTATCAGAGAAGCTGCCAGACAAAAATCCAACCAGCCCATCCGTGATCTTATCAGCGTTGCAGGCATTGTTAGCTGAGGGATTCTTCTGAGCAAGTGAATTGGTGCACAGCTGGGAGACACGGCTGTCCACTTCCTTCCAGGTCGCCAGCACATCCCTCACCCACTGAAGCTGCTCATTCAGACGCACAGAGAACATACCGAGTGATGGTGTATCCGCATCGCCCTTCTTCTTCTCGTACAGTGCAATCAACTCATTATTACCTCCACTTCTGTACAACAGGGAGCTGGCGGCAACGTCCTCGTCACCGGATACCGGCCCAATATCAACAATGTGCGTATTGTCCGTCAGCCAAAGATGTAGTTCACTCTTTTCCTCGTTTCCTCCTTTGTCTTTCTCCTTCGAATACACCGGCAGAGTGACAAGCATCACTTTTCTCTTATCTTCTCCAACCGTCGCTGTAATGAGCCCGCTCCCAACGGCTTGCCTTTTTCACCCTTTTTGTTGCCCCACACGCGCGAGAGTGTCCCGAGTGCCTCCGTCCACGAATCCCCCTTGTCACCGGACTCGTACACCCTGCGGCGGCCATCATCACACGCAGTCATCATGATGAGTTTTTTGTCCTTCCACTCCACGACGGAGGGATCACTGCAGCCACCGTCAGGAACCTCCTTCGATAGCGTCCAACTCGCAGAGTTATCGGAGGTGTATATGAGCAGCGATACGGCCTTTTCATCTTTTTTTGCTTCACCCTTCTTCGTGCCTTGCACTGGGAACAGGAGCCTACCGTCCCCCATATGAACACCCGATCCACCGCCGCCAATCAACCCTGTCCACGAATTTAGTTCGCCAACAGAAATCCGCAAGACATCGTCATCATCTTTCCATTTGATTCTTTTGCCACCGCTACTTTCATCAATGACTTCCCCTTGCACCAGCAATAATCCCCCGTCATTTGCTCCGCCACCCTCCTGACCAGTGGCAGCTGTCTGACTGTATTTTCCAACAAGCATGTAAATATCACTTCCCTGCATAACTGTTGTTGGTCGGCTCACATCCACTTTCTTTGGGTCTTCGGAACCGTCTTCCAGAAATTGTGTCTTATCTTTGGGATCCTTCAGCACTTCCACTGGTGTGTCAGCATTATCTTTCGTGAGTAGTTGGGATGCAATGCCAGTAAAAAAATTCTTTTTTTCATCCTTTTTGCACTGTGCCTCGGCAACGGCAAATACGTCACTCCCCACTTTCAAAAGGCCGGGAGCACCTAACAATTCCACAGTTACACCCTCATCCTTGATGTTCTTCCATTCAAAATTTGGATCTGTCTCTGACTCACTGTTCTCATCAGCGGCTGCAGCTCCACCGGTGCAGCAGCACATCACGACGAGTAGAAGCGGCACCGCGGAAGTAAACACACTCCGGGACATGTTGGGCCTCTGCGGCTCACTCTCTCTTCCTTCCCTCCTCCTTCCGCTGGATCCGGTCAAGCGGCGACGGTTGTGTGTGCGGGGTGCCTTCACTGCAGCAACACGTGAGAGCATATAAATATGTGTGTGTGGGCGGTGTGTGTGCTGTTGGTTCTTTCAGAGCCTTCGAATTTCACAGTAGCGATTAGCGTTTAGCCTTACTTCCTTTCCTTCTTTGTGTGTGAGAAAGAGAGAGAAGAGGAAAAAGGAGTGAAACAGTGAGCACGGCCGCCCCTCCACAGTGAGTGGGATCATCATCCCCGCCGCAGTCACTCCCAACAACAACAACTCACGCACACAGACACGCGGAACGAGAAGGAAGAACAGTGCACCGGGAAGACACAGCGACTGCCATCAACAGCAGTAAAAGCCACGGCGGGTGCTTCCGCCACGCGTCAGCGCACAGAGCAACGCACACACGCTGCCGCCAGTCGTTTTACTGTTGTCTCTCCCCACAACATCCACCGCACATCACCCCGCACAGCCGGAGAATCCTCCGTCGCTGTATGAACTGCGGGACGAACACGTCGGCACGTGTAGCTGCTGGGCAAAAATCCATGCTCACTTATCCCAGGCACC